AGGCGTGTATTCTTGTATCTGTGCATGCATGCATGCATGCATCGCATGTACGTATGATGGATGTATGTATATATGTATTATGTATGTATGTATGTATGTATGTATGTATGTATGTATGTATGTATGTACACATGTATGTATGATGTGTGTATGTATGTATGTATGCATGCATACATGCATGCATGCATGCATGTATGTATGTATATGTGTGTAGATGTATCTCTCTGTCTGCATGCACAAATGTTTGTGTGCATAAGTCTATAGATGCCTAGAGGAGTGTATGTAGGCATGTCCATGTGAATCTCTGTGCGCAGTGCGGGTGCATATGTATGCGTATAAAATGTACACCTACATGTACATGTAGCATGCATAAGTATAATTACGTACGTACGCATAGGTACGTATTATGCTAAGTTGTTCTTACGTGTTCGCATGCTTGCGGCTTCGCTCGATTGTTTCTAAATCTGTTTGTCTGGTTGTATGTCCCTTCGTTGTTGCGGGTGCCTCTGTTGTTACATTTGCTCAGCTTGCTCGCTCGCTTGCTCGCTGGCTCGCTCTCTCGCTCGCTGGCTTGCTTGTTTGTTGCCCTGTTCGCTGCATTGTGTTGGTTGCTCGATTGTTTGTCTGCGTTGTTGCGCTTGTTGACTTGCGCGCTTGTGCTTCTACATGCTTGTTTGTCTTGAGGGTGGGTGCTTGCTCGTGTTTTTGTTTATGCGTATTTTTGGTAAAGGTTATATAACTCCCATAGATAGGGTATATGTCCGCGCATTGAGTATGTGTCTGTACATACCTGTACATGCCCAGGTCAACACACACATATGTTCATTCGAGGCTGCTAAACCATGCACCCCTAAACCCTAGACCCTAAACCCCTGAACCCTAAACCCCAAACCCTAAACCCCTCAAGCCTAAACCCCAAGCCCTGAACTAAATCCCTCAGCCCTAAAACCCTGAACCCTAAGGTTTAAGTAAACTCGAAACCCCAGCCCCCGAAGCCTCGACACTGAACCCTAAAACCCAAATCCCTAAACCCTAAACCCTAAAGCCCTGAAGCCCTAAACCCCTCAACCTCCCCCTCCCTTCGCCAGGCCATCCCTTTGGGATCTTCGGGGTCAATGCATCGATCACTTCTGCCCCACGGAAAGAACTACGAGGTCTTTAGGGTTTAGGGTTTAGGGTTGAGGGGTTCAGGGTTTAGGGCTGAGGAGTTTTTCGGGTTTAAGGTTTAAGTTTAGGGTTTAGGGTTGAGGGTTTTAGGGTTCAGGGTTTCGGGGTTTAGGGTTTAGCAATTTGGGTCCAATTCCCGGGGTTCGGGTGTCGGGCCAGTTAGGGCTTAGGCGTAGGACCCTAAACCCTAAACCCTAAACCCTAAACCCTAAACCCTGCCAATCTACTCATCGCCCGGGCACCCATAGGTTCGGCTGTCGATTTCGGCTCCATCGGGTTTAGGGTTTAGGGTTTAGCGTTTAGGGTTTAGGGTTTAGGGTTTACCCGCTACAACCGTTGCCTGCCTT